CTCCTTGCCTTGGACAAACGCCTTTTCCTGAATTCTCTCCCGCCCCCCACTCTCTCCGGCCCCCTCCCAGAAGGAGGAGACGGGGGGAGGGGGGGGGGAGAGAGAGAACCCCACACGCGTCAAAGTGCGTGTGCTCTCGATCACGCGCTCAACTCGCGAATTGTATAATAGATCATGTGCACGTCATGTGCACCATGGGGCCAAGGCCCCTCTTCCCGATAACTAGGGTTTCGCCGGCTGGCGGGTTATGTATCATCTTTATTCTGCCCACGATCATTTTCCCGAGGCCCCAGTACTCGATCAGACATTCGTGCCGCGCGCATGGGCACGCGAAGGGTGTGTGGAGCTTGTCCCCGGCTGGGGCTCTTTGGTGCGCGAGGGGGAGGGGGGAGGCGGGCACCGATTGGGGGCCGATCCGCGGTGCAGCGGGGATTGCGCCGCGCGGCTGCCTGCACGGGCACGAGGCACCGAGCTCCGGGCCATTCCTCCAACTCCAGGCCGCGGAGGGAGCTTGCGTGGTGCACCCTTTTGCACGTGCATCGGTACTCCGTGCTTGGGTGCGCTGCTTTGAAAAAGGCGACGCGCCGAGCCGTTCAAAAATCCCCCAGCTGAATGGGACGCTCCTGGCCTCCATCTGCCTGGTGAACCCGGATCCCAGGGGGGTCGGAGAAATCCATATAGTGAGAGATGCTGAGGGAGAGATACACAGGGGTGAAGCTGGGAGCATGCCACCGGGAGAGGCAGGGCGGGGCCAAACGAGAGAAAGAGAGAGAGGGAGAGAGAGAGAGAGGGGGGGGGGGGATGGGGTACTTGTGCCCGCACGAGCTGGAGACGATCTGTCGAGGCCATCAATGCGCCCTCCCGCCCTCCCGCTCCCCTTCTTGGCCTTTAATCGCACATCGGCAGGCCTACGCGCCACCGCCCTCGCCCTCCTCCCATCCTCCCCCAACCGGCGTAAGTCTCACCTTCTCAGCCTTCATCCCTGCCCGGGATCTGCCTTCTGACCTTGCCTCCTTGCCTCCTGACCTTGCCTCCTTGCCTCCTGACCTGCTGTCCTTCCTCTTGGGTTCCGGTCTCCGGGTGACAGGCCCGCTCCACATGTCCGGACAGTCGAGCTACCGCTTCAAGCAGAACACCAGCATCCCGGCTGGCGCTGGTGCTAGCCCCCCGGCGGCCGGGGCCCCGCCGCGCATCCTGGTCATCGGTGCTGGCGTCATTGGTGTCACGACGGCCCTGGCCCTGCAGGCGCATCCGGCCCTGCAGCTGGGCGTTGTCCCGTCGGAGGCTAGCGCCCCGGGGAGCTCCCTGCCGGCGGTGGCCTTCCATCCGCGCCTCGCCGGGCCGGTGTCGCCTCAGCAGCCGGCGCCCCAGCGGTCGGTCTCCGCGCCGCATGTGGAGATCTGGGCCGCCGACTTCCCCCCTCACACCACCTCCAATGTGGCTGGTGCCTATTGGTTCCCCTTTAACATCCACCCGGCTCACCGTGTCGAGCACTGGGCCGAGCGCACCAAGCAGGAAATGGAGCGTTGGGTGGCGACTCTCGGGTCGGAGACCATCGGCGTCCGGCCGAGCGTCATGGCGCATGTCGAGCCTCATGGGCAGGTGTCGCTGGCCGCGCACAAGTCCGCCGCCGATGAGCGCCCGGATGTGCAGATCCCGGCCGGCCATGACATGGTTGATGGGGGTAAGACCCTGCTCATCGATCCGGACATTTGTCTGGGGTATCTCTTCGCACGCTTCCTCGAGCAGGGTGGCGTGACGAAGCGGAAGTTCGTACGTGGCCATCACCAATGCGATGTGCATGAGCGCGCACCTGCCATCTGCCTGCATATGGGCAATGCATGCTAACTTTTGCCCCGGCCATCGCGGATGCCTTTGCCGGCCGAATGGTCGGTCCGCTGGGTCCGGTCCATTTGCAGGTCAATGACCTGTCCGAGGCGCTGTGCCCTTCTCTCGGCTTTGATGCGGTTATCAACTGCACGGGCCTTGGCAGCCGCGAGCTGGTTGGCGATGCGCGCGTCTACCCGGCCCGTGGCCAGATCATTGTGGTCAAGGGTGTGCAGGCCTGTCCGGTACGTGTGGCCCATGTTTGTCACTGGCCCGCGCCCTTTGACCAGCCAGCCTACTTACACATACCTACACTCGCGTCGCGAATGCTCCACTCAACCGACCTTGACGCGCGCGTACACACACACACACACACACACACACACACACACATACATACACGGGCGTGCGCGCGAAATGCAGACCGTCTATAGCGTCCGCACTGGGCCTCTATCTCTGGGCTACATCATTCCCCGCATGCATGATACCGTACTTGGTGCGTCTTCCACCATGGTGCCTTGGTGACACACCTATATTCATGTGTGTGTGTGTGTGTGTCAGCTTGCCCTTTTGAGACTCGTGGCCACCTAACCAAACCATAACCTCCCCCTACAGGCGGCACCTATGAGGAGCATGATGAGTGCATGCGCGTCCGCAGCGAGACCACCGACGCCATCCTTGCCCGCACGCGCGGGCTTTCCTGCGGCCGGCTTACAGCCGAGGGTAGCAAGAAGGTGGAAATCCTGCGCGAGCGTGTTGGGCTGCGGCCCTGTCGCGATGAGGTCCGCCTTGAGCCGGAGTGGTTCCAGCTGGACCTATCTACCGGCAAGGTGTTCACCCATGGGACGGCTGCCAGCGGGGCCACCCCGGACTCGGCGCGTTACGCCAGCCGCCAGCCGAATCCCGGCCACGGGGTCCCTTCGCAACAGGTCTCGCGCTTGGTGGTTCACAACTACGGCCATGGTGGTGGCGGTTGGACTGTGGCCATCGGCTGTGCCGAAGAGGCTGCCCACCATGCGGTGGTCCAGCTCGCTCAATATCGTGACGCACTGGCCGCGGTGTCGGCGCGGGCGCACCTGTGAAACACTGCCCACAGTGTGGGGTCGAGATGCGACAGGCACACAGGACTGTTGCCTCCTCCCTCCTGCCCTTCTCGGACCCCTGTCGGAGTGAGTAATGTGCTTGTGAAAATACACCTGCCCCAAGAAATCCCCAGGCGTGAAAAACCTATCCCGGGGGGCGAGGGGCTGAAAGATGAGCAGTGGGGGAGAGGAAGATGTTGTATTGGGG